AACTCTACTACTACTACTATTATTATTATTATTATTATTATTATTATTATTATTAGGGATCAGGTGACTGCCGAGACATTGCGACTGTCATAAACATGAATCAGTTGCCAAGTGTCCGAACTTTGATATAGGACAGTGATGGCGAACCTTTTAGAGACCGAGTGCCCAAACTGCAACCCAAAACCCACTTATGCATCGTCGGGTGCCGGGTGGGTGTGGCCCATTGGGTGGGTGTGGCCCATTGGGTGGGCGCGGCTGCGGTGGTAATGACAGACTGGGTGGGACTAAAAAGTTCAATCAATCAATCCCAACTTTGCAAGATCTTCCCCCCCCCACCCCCCCCACCCCCGAAGAAGTTGAAATTGACTGATTGATTGAACCTTTTTTTTTTTGCACACAGCAATGGAGGCCTAAAGCGAAAAGGTTTTATAAAACCCACCTGAAGGCCTAGGACTGGGGCGAGGGTGCGCGTGCCCACAGAGAGGGCTCTGAGTGCCACCTCTGGCACCCGTGCCATAGGTTCGCCACCACTGGTATAGGGTTTCCTGCCTGAGCAGGGGGTTGGACTTGATGACCTCCAGGGTCCCTTCCAACTTTATTATTATTATTATTATTACAAGTTCAGAGGCATGCGCAGACCAGGAGACCGGTATGAAGACAGATGCCGAAGCTGCAACTCTCTTTCCAGCCTTGGTCTTCCTGCGGCTGGGCCAGGATCCCCTAAATGGGAGCCAGCCGTGTGCGGCAGCAGCCCAAAAAGCTAACATCATCCTGGGTCTCTGTATAAACAGAGACATAGAATCAAAATCATGCGAGGTCTTGGTACCGCTTTGTAAAGCCTTAGTAAGGCCACACCTGAAATACCTGCAACCAGTTTTGGCCACCACATTACAAAAAGGATGTTGAGACTTAATCATCATCATCATCATCATCATAATGTTGGAAGGGACCTTGGAGGTCATCTAGTGGAAGGGACCTTGGAGGTCATCTAGTCCAACCCCCTGCTCAGGCAGGAAACCCTATACCATTTGGGGGAAAAGTGCAAAAAAGAGCAACGAAGAGGATTAAAGGCCTGGAGGCTAAAACATACGACGTATGAAGAAACGGTTCTGGGGATCTGGGAACGGCCAGTCTAGAGAAAAAAAGAGGACTAGGGGGGACATGATAAGAGAAGTATTCCAGTATTTGAGGGGCTGCCACAAAAAAGAGGAGGGGGTCAACTTATTTTCCAAAGCACCAGAAGGCTGGACAAGAAGCAACAGGTGGGAACTAATGAAGGAGAAGCAATCTAAACTTCCTGACCGTGAGAACCATTAGCCAGTGGAACAGCTTGCCACCAGAAGTTGTGGGTGCTCCATCACTGGAAGTTTTTAGGAAGACTGGACAGCCCTTTGTCTGGCATGGTTTGGGACAGGGGTAGGCAACCTTGGCTCTTTTATGACTCGTGGATTTCAACTCCCAGAATTCCTGGGAGTTGAAGTCCACGAGTCATAAAAGAGCCAAGGTTGCCTTCCCCTGGTCTAGGATCTCCTGCTTGAACCAAGGGTTGGACTAGAAGACCTCCAAGGTCCCTCCCCCTCCCCCCCCCGGCTGTGGCTACATGCCCATCATCCATTCCCCGTCTGGACCTGGGGCCGGACGATGCTCGGACGAGGCATTTTTGGGGAGAAAAATGACCTTAAAACGTCTTTTTGATTATCCTCTTGACGTATTCTCATTGTGTTCTCTTCCATTGTTTATTTTCTGGCTTTTATTACAGGCAGTCGTCGACTTACAGCGGTTCATTTAGTGACCGTTCCAAGTGACAACAGCGCTGGAAAAAGGACCGCTTGTTGTGCTTGCGTCCGTTGCCGCATCCCCCAAGGTCACGTGATTTGCATTCCGATGCTTGGCCACACCGGCTCATGTTTATGACGGTCGCTGCGTCCTCCAGGGGGGGTGTCACATGATCCCCTTTTGCGACCTTCCGGCAGGCGAAGTCAATGGGGGAAGCTGGATCCGCTTAACGACGGTGTTACTAATTTAGCCACAGCCGTGATTCGCAGCCAGGGAAGCCATTAAAAGGGGGCAAAATTTGCTTTATAAATGTCTCGCTTAACAGAAATGGGGATTGTGGTCGTAAGTCGAAGACTGCCTGTATTTTACTTCCGTTTACCCTCTTCCGTTTTCGTTATTGTAAGCTGCCTTGAGTAATCCCACGACGAGCAAAGGGGTAAATAAAATTTAACAAACGAGTAAACAAAGGCAATGTGAAGGTTTTTTGTTCTTTAAGCCAATGCCATGGAAGAAGTTGGCCACTTGTTCCCTTCTTCCAAACGTTTTTTTTTTTTTTTTTTAATCATTTCTGTCGGACTGCAAGACTTTGGATTTCTTTGTGGTCTCCCATCCAAGCAGAAACGGGATCCTTGGCTGCCTCGCCCAGCTCAGTTGAGCCAGATGCCGCCTCTGAAGTCCTGCTCCAAAGGCGACCTTAACGCCCCATCTAAGACCTTAAGTTTCTCGACCTCGGTCCCTTTAAGAGTGGACTTCAACTCCCAGAATTCCCCGGCCAGCATGGCTGCTTTAATGCCTTTCTTCCTTCACACTGGGCAGATCGTCAGCTCCACCACGGCCTGGGCCCGTGTCTGAAAACTGAAGAACTCGGGAGCCAAACTGTAACGGCCGAGAGATCGGGGTTTAGGTTTAGACTTAAGATTTCGATGGAGAGGGAGGGAAGGAGGGAGAGAAAGATACATAAATATGGAGATGCAGAGATGGATGGATGCATAGATAAAGAGAGAGATGGCTGGATGGATGGACAAAGATAACATATAGATCCAGAGATGACAGAGAGACAGACAGATCATATGTGTGTTATGTATGTGTACCGGTAGATACAGATAGATAGATAGATAGATAGGCAGACAGATGATTGATAGATATAGATGATCATGATAGAGGACAGAGGGATAGATAAATGGATGGATTGATAGAGATAGATAGATAGATAGATAGATAGATAGATAGATAGATAGACAGACAGACAGATAGACAGAGAGACAGAGAGATCATATGTGTGTTATGTATGTGTACCGGTAGATACAGATAGATAGATAGATAGATAGATAGATAGATAGATAGATAGATAGATAGATAGATAGACAGACAGACAGAGAGACAGAGAGACAGACAGATCATATGTGTGTTATGTATGTGTACCGATAGATAGATAGATAGATAGATAGATAGATAGACAGACAGACAGATAGACAGAGAGATCATATGTGTGTTATGTATGTGTACCGGTAGATACAGATAGATAGATAGATAGATAGATAGATAGATAGATAGATAGATAGATAGATAGATAGATAGATAGAGGTATGTAGATATAGATAGACAGACAGACAGATAGACAGAGAGACAGATAGATCATATGTGTGTTATGTATGTGTACCGGTAGATACATATACATAGATACATATACATATAGATATATATACATACATACATATACATATATATACATAGATATACATAGATATACATATACATATACATACATATACATACATATACATATATAGACATAGATACAGATAGACAGACAGATAGGGAGAGCAAGAGAGAAATTAGAGATGTGATATAGAGAGATAAATATAAGCAGATAAGACGGATGGACGGATGATAAAGATAGCTATAGATGGATGGATATAGGAGACAGACAGATCTAAGTAGACAGATAAGGAGATGGATAGACAAACGGATGAGGGGTGGGGAACTATGGCCCCTTTATGACTTGTGGATTTCAACTCCCAGAATTCCCTAGCCAGCACAGCTGCTTTGCCGCCTTTCTTCCTTGCTGCATCCCCCTGGTCACATTGACTCACACTTATGACGTTCAGAGTGTGTCTCGTGTGTGTGTGTGTGTGTGTGTGTGTCCCGTGATCCCCTTTGGCGGCCTTCTGATGAGTGAAGCCCACGTGGGGGGGGGGGGTGGAAAGCCAGATTAACCGAAGAGCCGTGTGACTAATTTATCAGCGGCCGTCATTCACTTAACAAACGTGGCAGGGAAGGTTGCAAAAATGGGGCAGTTAACAACCTTCTCACTTAGCCGCCACGTAAATTCTGGGCTCCGTTGTGGGTCGTTAAGTCGAGGACTTCGCTGTATTTTGCTGCGGACTCCGGGCGGACTCGGTCTTGGGAGTCTTGAACTTGACAACTGGCCCGGCTACGTCGAACTTGGACAGACACGTGCACACGGAGGGGGTGGGTGGGCTGCATTTTTTTTTCTCTTTAATTTACAGAGGGGGGTAGAAGACCCTTGTGGACACGAGGGGGGGCCCCACCCCGGCATCCCCTCCAGGGCGCTAAGTCAATTCCAAGACCGGTCAGGGCTGCGGAAAGAGGGGAGGGGGTGCCGAAGACCCCAGATTTCTCCCCCTGGACTTGCCAAACTTGTGAGAAAAATCGCTCCTGGAAGGAAGACCACATCCGAACGGACTTCTTCCACGCCGTGAGACCCTCTCATTCCCCCCCATTGGGCTCTCCTGCATGCATGGCACCCCGATCCCTGGGGGCCTGAGCAGACAACGCCCCCCCCCTCTCCGCCCCGGGGTCCGGCTCAGCCTCTCGACTCCGCTGCAAGGACCGTTCCAGAAGCTTCTTCAGGGGGGCAGCGAGTTTCCGAGCGGGCCCCACTTTGGCAAAGTGCAACCCAGAAGTTAAGTCCTGGGGGGGGGGCAGAGGGCTCCCCCGTGCTCGGACCGCCGGCAGACTTCCAAGTCTGAAGGCCAGATTACAAAAAAAAAAGAGAAGGGGGGGGTCCATCAGGAAGGTCTCCCAGCATCTGTTTCCGAGCCAGCCCCCCGGCCCAGCCCCGCTGCAACCAAAGGGGTGGGGGTGTCCATCGTGCTGGACTCTGCGCAGAGCGGGGGGGGGACGCTCTGCAGGACCGCTGCCGAGTCCCTCTCCCCGCCCCCCCCCCGTCCTTCCTCCCCCCTCCTGGGGGGGTGGGCGGCTCATAGGATCTGCTCGGTGCTTGAGGTAGAGATATCCAACAGCCGCCAGGCAGCGAAGGGGTTCAGCTCTTCGGGGTCCCGGCAGAGGGCCCAGACGTACAGCATCCGCAAGACCTTCTCCTGCAGGGGGGGGGAGAGGAAGGAAGGGTTAGGGGGGGTGAAGGTTGGCACTGTTTTGTCCCCGTTCCGACCCACACCCCCAAACAGCCAGCCGAGGGTTTAAAGACTTCTCCAGACACCCACTTCACAGATAAGAAACTTGGCAGCAGCTCCGTAGCTGCCTGCCAAGACCTTTTACTCCAAACACCCAGAAACAAAAACAATACACACAGTTTAAAGCCACAGCACACTACTTTGCCAGAGATTCAGCTTTTGTCCGTCACAGAGGTCCAAATGGCCACCACCACCACCCTTTTATAGCCTGTGGGGTGTGGTCCAGTGACTCAGCTTAATCTCTGGCACGTCTCTTTTTCTGCTGCGCACGCTTGTCGCTCCTACGCTGGCGTGGATCCAGCCACAACTTCTCTTCCTCACTATCCGACACACCTGGCTCCTGGCCAATCTCAGAACCACCTGGCTCCTGGTCAATCTCTTCTCCGTTGGGAGACACCTGAGGCCTTGCCAAAGAGGAGGGTCCTGGAGAGGGAGGCCTGGCCATCTCCTCTCCTTCATGTTCGTAGCCTTCTTCTTCCGATAAGAGGGGCTCACAAGACGGAGCCACAACAGGCACGGGCCAGGCTGCAGAAGGCAACCCTGGTTGGAAAAGACCCCCCCCCTGCAATTTCCCCAACCAAACAGCTGGTTAAAGGGCGCTCCTGACCGGGCAGCCCTCTTGGAGGGTCTACCCCAGGGGTCTTCAAACTTGGCCCCTTTTACGACTTGTGGACTTCAACTCCCAGAATTCCTCAGCCAGCGGCGGGGGGGGGGAAGGAAAATTCAGCATTAAATCCAGCCTCCTTTGATTGACTGATTGTGGGCTGTCTTTATCTTCCTTCTCAACCAAGGCGATTTGAACGGAGCAGGAAGCCCCCGGGGTGGGTGGGTGGGTGGGAACGGCCCCTTACCGGATCTCCTTCCACGACCTCTCCCTTCGGGTTCTTCAGCACCATCACCAACTGAGCCTGGAAGGTGATGATCAACACCGGCCCCTGCTCCATCATCTTCCCCATCGCCAGCTGAAAGAGGGGAACGTTTCAAGGCGCTAGTCCATCAGGCGGCGGCGGGGGGACTGGCCCGGCCCAAGTGACGAAGCTTGCTAGTCCATAAGCCAGGTTGCACAGGGATGTCCAGCCTGGCTCGGGCCCCCAGCACGAGCGAATGGGACGGCCCCACCCTTCCCCCCCCAGCTTTCTTGCTCGGGGCTCAGAAACCGACAAAAATGACCACGGATGTTATCGGGCATCGGGGGACGTGGGCATCCGTGGGAACCTGGAGCATTTGCTCCAAAGGGTGGGGATCAGGCCTGGCAGGCGGGCAGAGAGGTCCCCAAGGAAGAGGTGGGGGTTGGGGGCTTGGGATGGGGGCTGTCTCCTCTGCTGGCGCTCCCTGGGGGGAATGGGCCGGGGAGCCGGGGGAGCCGCCGGGAGTCCAAACTAGCGGTGGGGTCCCCTAGCAGGAGCTACTCACGTCCACGTTGTCCACGTCCAGGATTTTGGAGTGGAACTGGAGCCCCATGGCCCTGGCCTGCTGGATGGGCTGGGCCAGCTGGCTGTAGGTCTGAAAGAGAGGAAGGGGCCCCATTCAAGAGCCCGGCCTCTTTGCCCCAGACAGGAGGGCAGTACAGGAGGGGGGCCGGCCGTCTCGGCTGCAGCTCTAAGGAAACCTCTGCAGGAGGGATGACTTGAGCCCAAGGATCACTTCTTCTTCCCCCCCCAAGGGAAATCAAGCGTCCAGTCCTCAGCACTGCATAGGCCCGTTTAGAACCAGGCACCCCAAATCTGCCTAAAACAAAATTCATCACGGCCCTCATTGCCATTGGTTAAATTAACCAAAGCACCAGGAATCCTGTTGTCTTTCTATCTAATCTATATCTCCATCCATCCAATTATCATCTATCTATCCATCCATCCATCCATCCATCCATCCAATTACTATCTATCTATCTATCTATCTATCTATCTATCCATCCATCCATCCATCCAATTACCATCTATCTATCTATCTATCTATCCATCCATCCATCCATCCAATTATCATCTATCTATCCATCCATCCAATTATCATCTATCTATCCATCCATCCATCCAATTATCATCTATCTATCTATCCATCCATCCAATTATCATCCATCTCTATCTATCTATCCATCCATCCATCCATCCATCCATCCATCCATCCATCCATCCATCATCTATCTATCTATCTATCTATCTATCTATCTATCTATCTATCTATCTATCTATCTATCTATCTATCCATCCATCCATCCATCCATCCATCCATCCAATTTCTTTCTATCTATCCATCCATCCATCCAATTATATCTCCATCTCTCCATCTCTCTCTCCCCCTCCCTCTCTCAATCCTGTAGAAGAGGCAACTTCTTTGTACAGGCAGTCCCCGACTTACGACCGGCAATTTGCTTAATGACCACTGCGGGGGAGGGGGGAACAATGACCCAGCCTTACTTCGATCCCCCCCCCCAACCCCACCTGGCTTTTCTCTGGCCCAGGAGGGAGAGGCTGAGAGGTCACCGCAGAGGGAATCCTCCAAAGGTCAAAGGGCTGGGAGGGGTGTTGCTGGGCGTTTCTCCTCTGCCGGGGGAAGCCCTTCTTCCAACCCTCCCCTTCACCAGCACCCCCCCCCACCCCGCCCTGCCCCAAATACCCTGGCTGTCCCTAGCCGAGACTCACCGCTTCGTAGCACCAGTCCTTGAGTATGTCCAGCTCTCCGGAGATCATAGCCTGGGGGGGGGACAGGAGAGGCTTGTCAGGCATGGATTGGGGGGGGGAATGGCAGTGGGTGGGGGGGAGGGCGCCAGGGGCAAGAGGGGAGGACAAAGCTGGCACGGGAGAGGGTTCAACTAAGATGGTTAGTCGCCCTGGGATTTAACACAGGCTGCTCCTGTTGCACCGGAAACGGAAACCGGATGGGGAGGCTGCAGCCCTGGGAGACGTGAATTCTTCACGCAAAGTCTTGGTCCCGCCTTATAAACCTTTAGGAAGGCCACACCTGGAGTACCTGCATCCAGGCTTGGTCACCCCATTGCAAAAAAGACGTTGAGACTTTGGAAAAAGTGCAGAGAAGAGCAACTAAGAGGATCCAAGGAGACTGGAGACTAAAACATACGAAGAACGGTTGCAAAGACTTAGGTTTGGCCGGTCTAGAGAAAAGAAGAAATAGGGGGGACGTGATAGCAGCGTTCCAGTATTTGAGGGGCTGCCACAAGGAAGAGGAGGGGGTCTTGTCATTCTCCAAAGCACCCGAGGGCAGGACGAGAAACAAAGGTTGGAAACTGACCAGAGAGAGAAGCAACCTGGAATTCAGGAGAAACTTCCTGACAGTGAGGACAATTAACCAGTGGAACAGCTTGCCACCAGAAGTTGTGGGTCCCCCATCCCTGGAGGGTTTTTAACAAGAGACTGGACAGCCACTTGTCTGAAATGTTATAGGGTTTCCTGCTCGAGAACAGGACCTCCCTCTGGTGCTTTGGAGAATAAGTTGACCCCCCCTCTTCTTTGGGGCAGCCCCTCAGATACTGGAATAACTGCTATCATGTCCCCCCTATTTCTTCTTTTCTCTAGACTGGCCAAACCCAAGTCCTGCAGCTGTTCTTCGTAGGTTTTCGTCTCCAGTCTCCTTGGATCCTCTTAGTTGCTCTTCTCTGCACTTTTTCCAAAGTCTCGACATCTTTTTTGTAATGTGGTGACCAAAACTGGGTGCAGGTACTCCAGGTGTGGCCTTCCTAAGGCCTTATAAAGCACTATAGCAGTGTTTCTCAACCTTGACCATTTTAAGGCCTGTGGACTTCAACTCCCAGAATTCCACAGCCAGCATTGCTGGCTGTGGAATTCTGGGAGTTGAAGTCCACAGGCCTTAAAACGGTCAAGGTTGAGAAACACTGCACTATAGGTAGTCCGTTTTATGACAACTGGATTTCCACCAGTACGCTGATGATACTCAGCTGTACATTTCCACCCCAGGCCACCCCAATGATGCCCTTGACGTGATGGCCCGGTGCCTGGAGGCCGTACGGGTCTGGATGGGGAGAAACAGACTCAGGCTCAACCCTTCCAAGACTGAGTGGCTGTGGTTGCCGGCTCCCAGGTATGGTCAGCTGACTCCGTCGCTGACTATAGGGGGCAAAACTTTGGCCCCCTCGGAGAGTGTACGCAATTTGGGGGTCCTCCTGGACCCACGGCTGACACTAGAAGATCAATTGACGGCCGTGGCCAGGGGGGCGTTTTACCGGGTACGCCTGGTTTACCAGTTGCGGCCTTTTCTGGACCGGGATGCCTTGCGCACAGTCACCCATGCTCTTGTCACCTCCCGCCTGGACTACTGCAATGCTCTCTACATGGGGCTCCCCTTGAGGAGCATTCGGAGGCTCCAGTTAGTCCAGAATGCAGCCGCGCGGGCGGTGATGGGAGTGACTCGTCGCTCCCATGTAACGCCGCTGTTGCGCGAGCTGCACTGGCTGCCTGTGGCCTTCCGAGTGCGCTTCAAGGTGTTGATCATCATCTTTAAAGCGCTCCATGGCATTGGACCTGGTTACCTCCGAGACCGCCTTCTGCCACAGATTACCTCCCATCGGCCGGTACGCTCCCACAGAGAGGGTCTCCTCAGGGTGCCGTCAGCCAGACAGTGCCGGCTGGCGACCCCCAGGGGGAGGGCCTTCTCTGTGGGAGCTCCCACCCTCTGGAATGAACTGCCCCCAGAGATCCGGGTGATTCCGGATCTCCCCTCCTTCCGCCGCGCCCTTAAGACTTGGTTATTCCAGCTTGCAGGACTGGCCTAAGGGTTATCTTAATTTGGTTTTAAAATAATTTTAAAAAGAAAAGGCCAATAATTTAATATTCTATTTTAATTACATTTTAAATTTAGTATTTTGTATTTGTACCTGTTTTTAGATGGCTGTAAGCCGCCCTGAGTCCGCTGGGAGAAGGGCGGGGTAGAAGTTTAATAAATAAATAAATAAATAAATAAATAAATAAACAAACAAACAAACAAACAAACTGGGGCCTCTGGGGAAGACCCCCCCCCTGTCTCCACTCCCCCCCCCAGAAAGGAAAGAGCCCCCCAGGTGCCAACAGCGGCTTGGCTCAAACGCCCTCCCCTCATTCCCTCCTACAGGGAGTCCTCGACTTTTACAGCCCCTCCGTTTAGCGATCCGTCAAAGTTACACAAGCACTGAAAAAAGGGACTTGCGACCAGCTCCTCACACTTACGACCGTGGTAGTCAGACCTTCCAGTCAGCCCTTTCGACAGGCGAGGCTGCCAGGTCCCACGCCCGTCGGCTACGAGAATCTGCCTTCTCTGCCGCCACTTTCCAAGGCCGTCCTCGAGGTTACGACCGCACCCGTCGGCGGCCGAGACGTTTGTTCAGCGAGTTTGGCCCTCTTTCCCCTGCCGCGGTCGTTAAGTGGACCCCTGCCGCGGTTAAGTTAGCAACCCCGTCGTTAAGTGAATCCGGCTACCACACACACACACACACAAACCACATTTTGCTTGTCAGAGGTCGCAAAGGGGGAATCACGTGGCACACACACACACACACACACCCCGGGGGACACGGCAGCCGTCATAAATACGAACCGCTTGCTGAGCGTCTGAATTTGGACCGGGGAGGCCGTAACGGTCGGTTAAGTGTGAAAACTGGTCGTAAGTCACTTTTTTCGGGGCTGTTGTAATTTTTGGTCGCTAAATGCACCGTCGTAAAGTCGAGGAAAGGTCCAGGGTTCGAAAGACGCTAAATGCATCGTCGTAAAGTCGAGGAAAGGTCCAGGGTTCGAAAGACGGTTCCCCAGGCTTCTGATGGAGGCCTGGGGAACCCAGGGGCCCCCCTCCCTCTCCCACACCCCCCAGCCCCCCCCGGTACCTCGAGAATGTTGGGGATGATGTCGGCCTGGCACTGCTTGAGGAACTGGTCCTTGTCGAAGGTGGGATCGACCCGCAGGATCTCCGTGAGGACTTCGGACATCTCCGTCTTGGAGAAGAGACCCCCTGCCAGGGGGAGAGAAGAGGGGGCTTACCAGGATCTCCTGACCCCTTCAGGAGAGAGGGGACAACCCCCCCCCCAGGCTCGATGTCGTTCCCCAAGGCAGTACTTCCTTCCCTCTCTTCGCCCCCCCCAGTCCTGCAGGGAGAGCGCGGCTCAACCGAGGGGGAGAAGGGGCGGGAGTCCCCCTCTTGGGGGGCAGGAGGGAGCACCGAGACCCCCAGCACTGTCTTCACCGGGCTTTCTCAACTGTGGCCCCTTTAAGACTCGTGGACTTCAATTCCCAGAATTCTGGGAGTGGAAGTCCACAAGTGATAAAAGGGCCATGGTTCCCCTATGCTGGCTGAGGAATTCTGGGAGGGGAAGTCCACAAGTGATAAAAGGGCCAGAGTTCCTCCATGCTGACTGAGGAATTCTGGGAGTGGAAGTCCACAAGTGATAAAAGGGCCATGGTTCCCCCATGCTGGCTGGGGAATTCTGGGAGTGGAAGTCCATCAGTCATAAAAGGACCATTCCCCATGCAGCTGAGGAATTCTGGGAGTGGAAGTCCACAAGTGATAAAAGGGCCATGGTTCCCCCATGGTGGCTGAGGAATTCTGGGAGTTGAAGTCCACAGGTCATAAAAGGGCCAGGGTTCCCTCATGCTGGCTGGGGAATTCTGGGAGTTGAAGTCCACAGATCTTAAAGCGGCCACAGTTCAGAACGAGCGCTCTTCCCTCTGGGCTGAATCAACCAATCTATCAACCCCAACCCAGATTCTTTATCTTGTAGAGCCCCTGTTGTGTTGTGACTCTTGTGAAATTAAATGCCCCTCGCCAAACTGCTGGGGCGAGTGCAGCTTTGATAGTCAGAAGGTCGCAAAAGGAGATCGCTTGACCCCAGGACACGGCGACCGTCAGGAGTATGAGCCCCTCGCCCAGTGTCCAAATTTCGCTCACGTGACCGCAGGGACGCTGCCACGGTCGTTTAGCGCGAAAAACGGACACACCGACTGTCCCGGTGCTGCCGTAATAGCAACAGCGCTTGGGTTGTCCTCGACTTACGACGGCAGTGGGGCCCAAAATTTATGTTGCTAAGTGAGAAATTTGTTAAGTGAGTTTTGCCCCACGTCACGACTTTCCTTGCCTCGTTTGTTAAGTGAACCCTCTGCAGTGGTTCAATTAGTAACCCGGTTGTTTAAGTGACTCTCGCTTCCCCCTTTGACTTTGCTTGTCAGAAGGCAGCAAAAAAAAAGGGGGGGGGATCACGTGACACCCCCCCAGAGGACGCTGCCACCGTCATAAATGTGAGTCAGCTGTCAAGCGTCCGAACGTAAATCACGTGACCACGGGCGACGCTGCAACGGCCAAAAGTGTGAAAAATGACCGTAAGTCACTTTTTTTTTCAGTGCCGTTGTAACTTCGGTCACTAAGTGAACTGTTGTTAAGTCGAGGACTGCCTGCAGAGCGACCGCTTCATAGTGGCTTTTACAGCCCTCTCTAAGCGGTTTGCAGAAATCTTGCCATTTGTTACAGGGAAGACGTTTTTTTCGCCCCGCAAGGTCCTGGATTCGAGCTTCTGCCCGGTCAGAAACGCCCCTTGCCTAGCAGAGGGGAGGGGGGGGAGAAAGGAGACAGACCTATGAAGTCGGTCACTTTGTCCGTCATGACGCGGGAGGCACGGATGAGGGCGTTGTCACTCTCGTCGTACTTCATCTTCATTTCGAAGAAGCCTGCGGAAATTAAAGGGGAGACCTGGGAAGGAGGACTAGGGACACCCACCCTGCCCTGGGAAACCAGGAGAGGGCCGCGTTGACAACGGGAGCCCTTGTTTCCCAGAGTCTTTACAAATGCCTTGCAGGATCTGAGGGGCTGCCCCAAAGAAGAGGAGGGGGGGGGGGTCAAGCTATTCTCCAAAGCACCCGAGGGCAGGACGAGAAACGACGGTTGGAAACTGACCAAGGAGAGAAGCAACCTGGAATTAAGGAGAAACTTCCTGACAGGGAGGAGGACAATCAACCAGTGGAACAGCCTGCCACCAGAAGTTGTGGGCTGGACAACCACTTGTCTGAAATGGTAGACGGTCTCCTGCTTGAGCAGGGACTGGACTAGAAGACCTCCAAGGTCCCTTCCAGCTCTATTCTGTTCTGTTCTGTTCTTTCCTATTCTGTTCTTTCCTGTTCTGTTCTGTTCTATTTCCCATTCCATTCCATTCCATCCCATTCTATTCTATTGTATTCTAAATTTTATATTCTATTCTCTATTCTATTCTATTCTTCCTATCCTATTCTCTAATCTATATTCTATTATTATTCTATTATCTATTCTATTCTCTATTCTATTCTCTTTTCTATTCTTTTCTATTCTCTATTCTATTCTCTATTCTATTCTCTTTTCTATTCTATCCTATCCTATCCTATCCTATTCTCTAATCTATATTCTATTATTATTCTATTCTTCTCTTCTATATTCTCTATTCTATTCTCTATTCTATTCTCTATTTTCTATTCGATTCTATATTTTCTATTCTATTCTATTTATTTGCCACCCCTCTTGTTTCCAAGAGACTCTGGGTGATGGAGAGGGAGGGACGGGGAGGGGAGGGACCCTACAGTACTTCTTGTACTATTCTTCCATGTGGGAAGCACCAAAGGGCTTCCGTGGGCGAAAGGAGTAGCCGGTGACATCACCGTTGCCCAGGAGATGCCCAGTTGGGGGCTCCTTTCATGTCCCCGTCAAGCTGCCCAGTGAAGTGGTACCCATTTATCTACTCGCGGTCACCTGCCTTCAAACTGCTGAGTTGACTGGAGCTGGAGCGAGGGATGGGAGCTCACCCCGTCCCACGGCAGCAACCGGCTCTTGAGCCTACCGACTGCTAGCCCGGTACCCGAACCACGTGACCCACCGCAGTCCCATAGTACGTACGGTTGAAGACCACGTTCTTGTCCTTGAACTCCTTCCACTGCTGGTACCACTTGGAGTCTTTGTGCAGGACCATGCCCATCGCTTGCCTGGAGGGGGAGGAGAGGCGCCGTTAGGGAAGGGGGCCGAAAAACTCCCCCCTACCTGTCCCCATTGCCAATTCTCCAGACAGCGTGGAGGGGAGTTCTTTTCGGGTCCAATGGAAGAAACCCCCATGGTGAATGGGGTTGGGGGGGTTGAATTAGATCAGGGCTTTTCAACCTTTTCACCCATTGTACCACTTTTAGGATATGGCAACATCCGAGTACCACCAGTCGCCTAGCAAGGGGTCAAAAACTTGATGACCAAAAAAAAAGGAAAAAAGTGATAAAGTACAGGTAGCCCTCGACTTACAACAGTTCGCTTAGTGACTGTTCGAAGTTACAATGGCACTGAAAAAAGTGCCCCCCAAGCCACAGCCGAGCAAGACACCCGCCTGCCCACCCAGCAGCGCTCTTCCTCCTGTCCGAGGTTTTCATTGTTGTGAGCATTTCTGTTGAGGATTGGCAGCGGGGGTGGGGTGGGGGGTGTTTAGTTTTTATTCCCCCCCCCCGTCTGCTGGGTGGTTGCAGCAGGTTTTGGTCCCTTCACATGACCCTGGGACACTGGGACCGTCATAAATAGGAATCCGTTGCCAAGCATCTGAATGTAAATCACAAGACCCTGGAGAGGCTGCAACATTCCAGCTGATCGGCGCTTCTTCTGGGCTCAGCAGACGCGCCAGGATCAGCGCCGAGCTCCAGCTGGAGCCTGGCTCTGATCCTGGGGCTTCCGCTGAGCCCTGACAGCCCTGCAGCTCCAGCCGTCTCTCGCTCAGGCTTGTGCGGTGCTGCCACCGGTTCAGCTCATTCCCCTTCCCCGCTACCACTTTCCTAGGATGGTCGCGTACCACCTGCCAGGTGCCAATGTACCACAGGTGGTACCCGTACCACTGGTTGAAAAGCCCTGGACTAGATGACCTCCCGGGGTCCCTTCCAACTCTGTCTATTCTATTCTATTCTATTCTGCTCTAATTCTATTCTATATTCTATATTACACTACACTACACTACACTACACTACACTACTCTACTCTACTCTACTCTACTCTACTCTACTCTACTCTACTCTACTCTACTCTACTCTACTCTTCTATTCTATTCTATTCTATTCTATTCTATTCTATTCTATTCTATTCTGAGCAGCCTTCCAGTATCTCAGGGGTTGCCATAAAGAAGAGGGAGTCAAGCTATTCTCCAAAGCACCTGAAGGCAGGACAAGAAGCAACGGGTGGAAACTAACCAAGGAGAGAAGCAACCTGGAACTAAGGAGAAACTTCCTGACAGTTAGAACAATTAATCAGTGGAACAACCTGCCTCCAGAAGCGGTGAATGCTCCAACACTGGAAGTTTTTAAGAAGAGACCGGACAGCCATTTGTCCAAAATGGTCTAGGGTTACCTGCCTGAGCAGGGGGTTGGACTAGATGACCTCCAAGGTCCCTTCCAATTCTATTCTATTCTATTCTATTCTATTCCTGGTTTTATTCTATTCCTGTTGCTATTCTATTCTAGACTCCACTCCACTCTTCTACTGAACCATCCACACAGCCTCAGGGACAGCAAGGCAGATGTCCCAGGGCTTTCCCACCCCCATTTGGAGATGCCCGGGGACTAAACCGGGGGGGGGGGAGCCTTCCAAGAGTGAACAAGCCCTCTGCCCTTCTATGAGTCATTTTAAGATTCTCTCTCCCAGCTGCAAGCCAGACAGTCTGCCTCTCCTGGGGCTTCAACTGCAGCACTGGGTAAAACAGGCGTCTCCTGGCCAAGGTTCCCTCCCTACCCCCATCACACACCCCCCACAGCCAGCTGCCCACTCCCGCAGCCTCTGGCAAGGCCGGCCCCAGTTCGGACACTCACTCGTTGGCTTCGAATATCCGCTCGTCCTTCATCCTTTCGCCGGCAGATTCTGTCCTTTTCCGGAGTCTCTCGGGACGCCGGTAAGGCCCCATCTGGCCCAGCACGCTGTCGTCAATCTCCTTCCGGACGGTCTCCATGCCCTGGGAAGGGAAGCGCCGTCACACACGTACCAGGCGCAAGCAAGCGGAGGCGCTCGTGAATGGGCCGAGCCCACGCAACTGTATTGCCTTCTGCCTGTATTACCAGACTCTCCCCAGACTGCTCAGCCTTCCTTTGGGAATCACCCAGATAAGGTTGCACGGAAGCAAGAGAGCGTCAGGCTTAGGTCTCTTGCGGCTACGTAAGGACTCAAGGCTAGTTCCCTTCTTGACCCCCCCCTCCCTGCCCGGCTGCCGGGTTCCCAACATTCCAGAACGAAGGAAAGGGGGAGAGGAAGTCCCGGGACCGATTCAGGGAAAGACAAAAGACCGTCACTCACAGCTGAGAACAAAAGGAGAATTCCTTTTTTTTAAAAAAACCAACAACCGAGCATGAAGTACTATACCAGTAGTGGCGAACCTATGGCACGTGTGACAGAGGCGCCATTCGGAGACCTCTCTGTGGGCACGCGCACCATTGCCCCTGCCCTGCCTCCCCCTGGGGCCCCTTCCTCACCAGCAGCCCCCCTGGAGGAGAGTCGCCCCTGGGCGCGATCCGCGCAGCGCAGCCAAGGACATGCCGTCCAGGCAGCAGGGACAAGACTCCACCCTCGCGCCCCGTCGCACACAGATGCTGCTGCAGGGCACGGGTGGCGGGTGTGGCTGCCCTGGTGCCGCAGGGCCGCCTGGGCGATCTGCTGCGACGGGCCCTGGAGATGGTAGGTGGCCCTGTGGGCAGGTGGGGCGGGGATGGAGTGGGTGGGGCAGTTTTTGGGCACTCGGTGTCTAAAAGATTCGCCATCACTGTACTATACAGACAATGACTGGCACCCTGAATTGCACCCGGAAGCTGACTGGCAATGAATGCCATTCATGTCATGATATGTGCTATCAAGGTATTGATTTAATAGCTAACTAATGTAAGATGTAACGATAGGAATGACTCAGCAGGCTCTGTGTCTCTTTAAGAGCCTTTGTATAAAAAGAAGGCTCCGCTGATGTGTTGTCTCTCTCTTCCGTTTCCTGCTGTAACTGTGGTGTGTTGGATCCTGCTGTATTAGAACATGTATGTATATTGTTCCTGGTGTATGATATTGTAGATCAGGGGTGTCAAACTCAATTTCATTGAAGGCTGTATCAGCATTGCGGTTGCCCTTGGGGGGCTGGGTGGATGGAGTGGGTGTGGCCTACTGGGTTCTACATCGTTCGTGTCAAGGGTGCCTGTGGAGGGCCTGGGCAGGAGTGGGACAGATCTGAGGGTCTCTGGCAGAAGGGGGTGGGACCGGGGCAAGCGCCAAGGCATGGTCCATTTCTTCATTCCTCACAAAGGTGTCACCTCCCCAGCATGCACCCAGGGGGCGGGGCCAACGTGGCAGGGGCTGGGTCCTCGCTGTTTCTAGACGTCCTTGTGGAGCTAACACTGAATGCGTTTCCGCATAGATGGCCACCACCAAATTGTACATGGGCTCCTGGGTGGCTTGGGCCAGGGCCAAGACAGCGGGGGCCGTTCCCTCACTGTTTCCAGGATGGCTTCGCGGGCCGCATGAAACCACTTTGCGGGCCGCATCAGGCCCCCGGGCCTTGTGTTTGACATGTCTGTTGTAGATAGTGTAAGATAAACCACCATTTACTATAGACCAGTGATGGCAAACCTTTTGGAGACCAAGTGCCCAAACTGCAACCCCAAACCTACTTATCTATCGCCGGGTGCTGGGTGGGTGTGTCCCACTCGGCGGGTGCAGCCACAGTGGGCGTGGCAGACTGGGTGGGGGTGGCTACTGGATGGGTGTGGCTGCAGTAGTCATGGCAGACTGGGTGGGCATGGCCGGGGTGGGCGTGGCCACCTTGATGTTGCTTATGGGGAGGAACACCTGTGGGAGCCGGGCAGAGTTGGGGGAGATCCAGGGGGTCTCTGGCGGGTGGGGTGGTGGGCTCCCCAATGGCGGCTCCAGGCTGGCTGGCCTTAGGCCAGTGATGGCGAACCTTTAGAGACCACGTGTGCTGGGGCGATGGCGCGTGCCCACAGAGAGGGCTGCGCGTGCCGCCTCTGGCACGCGTGCCCATAGGTTCGCCACCACTGCTATAGACCACTGTTTACTGTGTTTACGCCTGGGTTATCTCGGGCAATAAGACTGTGCGCACTCTGACGTGTGCGCACAAGAGGCGCATGTTACTGCTCACACTGTTGCATGCTGAGCCAGCTGTAGCTTTCAGGTCGTGTTCAAGGGCAGCTCCATGTGAGAGTGCACTGCAGTAGTCCAGCCGCGACCATCTGCAGGACCTCCTCACTAGACCTCTGCAAAGGGAGCAGATCCTCGGCGCTGACGGCCAAAAAATGTCTGCGGAGGTTCTCCGTCCTCCAGGTCACGGTTGTCCCAATGGTGCTTTTTTTTTTTTTTCTTTTCAGGAAGCAAGTGGACTTTCTGATTTCTCCTTTGGAGACGTTTCGCTTCTCATCCCAGAAGCTTCTTCAGCTCTGACCGGATGGTGGGGGAATGGAAGGATTTCTATATTCCTTGCAGACCGCTGGTCATTTGCCTTCTTTTAGAGTCGTTGAGGCCGCTTGGAGGTTTCTCTGTGTCCTCAGCGTCACCTGAGTGGTGCAAATGGGTGTGGAGACTTCTGGGAACCGCTGACCACATCATCTACCTCCAGTCTACAACACGGTCCTTCAAGCAGTTCCAAGGAGGCTCCACACCCATTTGCACCCCTCAGCTGACCCTGAGGACACAGAGATAAACCTCCAAGCGGCCTCAACGACTCTCTAAAAGGAGGCAAATGACCAGCGGTCTGCAAGGAGTGTAAATCCTTCCCTTTCTCTACCATCCAGTCAGAGCTGAAGAAGCTTCTGGATGAGAAGGGAAACGTCTTCAAAGAATAATAAGAAATTCCTATGAGGACACAGAGAAACCTCCAAGTGGCCTCAAGGACTCTCTCAAAGAAGGCAAATGACCAGCAGTCTGCAAGGAGTATAAATCCTTCTCTTCCCCACCATCCAGTCAGAGCGGAAGAAGCTTCTGGGATGAAAAGAGAAACGTCTTCAAAGAAAAACAAGAAAGTCCAGTGGCCTCCTGAAAAAAAGAGCACCTTTGGGATGGCCAAAAAAAATGACTTCGGATGGGCCCTGGACCCTTCACGCGTGTTTGGAGAGGAGCTGAGAAGCTGCAGGTCAACCCTCAGTCTGACCTCTCCAGTCAGCTCTGGGGAGACCCACGCTCGGTCCCTGGAGAGCTGCTGCGACCCAAGAAAAGCAAAATCACCCAAAAAGTCCGAGAAGGAGGACCCCAGCCTCAGGCAACTCTCCTGCCCTCCACAGAGGAGCTGGGCCTGTCCTGGCCAGGATGGACCCAGACCGAAGACGACTTGCCTGAGAAATGGCCTTGAATGCTGCCGTCCGGCCCAGCTTTTCTCCTCCCTTGGAGACTGTTTCTGCAGAATGCTTTGCTGTTTTGGCCGCTTCCTCCATGCCTTCCTTGATCTTCCGGCCGATCTCGCTCTTGCTGACTTCATCTATGCTCTGCGACCAGAGAAACAAAAGGAAGAATATCAGAATAACAGGCACCTTGGAGGTCTTCTAGTCCAACCCCCTGCTCCAGCAGGAAACCCTACGCCATTTTAGACAAACGCCTGCCCAGTCTCATCTTGAAAGCCTCCGGGGATGGAGCACCCCCACAACTTCTGGAGGCAGGCTGTTCCACTGGTTAATTGTCCTCATTGTTAGGAAGTTTCTCCTTAATTCCAGGTTGCTTCCCTCCTTGATGAGTTTCCATCCGTTGCTTCTTGTCCTGCCTTCAGGTGCTTTGGAGAATAATTTGACCCCCTCCTCTTTATGGCAGCCCCTCAAATATTGGAAGACAGACAGACAGACAGTAGGTAGGTAGATAGATAGAGAAGGATAGATAGATAGATGATAGATAGATAGATAGATAGATAGATAGATAGATAGATAGATAGATAGATAGATAGATAGATAGATAGATAGATAGATAGATAGATGATAGAGACAGACAGACAGACAGACAAACAGACAGACAGACAGATAGAAGTGGGCACACTGGCACAGATTAAAAATGAAATTTTGTTGCTGCTATCATGTCATTCTTCTAACAAGAGAAGTAGAGATGGTTAAATCAATTGCTTTATTCTAAGAAAAAAAACCCATCTCTAATCTTGTTTCCCTTTGGAAATTGCTTCTGGATTTTGTCCTTGTGGTGAAAAAATATGTATGAAACTTTGATTTCGGTTGTGCGGATCCAACAGGTTGGTTGTTATAGAAATGGCTAGCACCTATCTTTGTGTAAAAGTAAAAAGTTGAGGCCGAAACGTTATGAACTTCTACTGTGCGAAACAAAAGTCGGAAGGCAATGCATTTTTTAAATTTATTTTTCCCCTCCCTACCCCATACTTTCTTCTTTTCCCCTTTCCCTTCCCTTCGTTTCCCTGTTATTTTCATTTTCTTTTAGATTCTGATAAACGAATAAAAAAAATGTTAACCCTAAAAGGAAGGAGGTTGACCCTCGGAGGAATCAGGCTGGACACCCTTCACTCTCGGCCTCCAGAGAGCGTCTGGCCAGGTGGGGGCTCCGGACAGCATTCCTGGCCGCTGGAGAAAGGTGACCCGAAGGGCCGGAAGGAGACGCCTCTCTGGTTCTCACCTCTTTGACGGTGCCACTGATTTCTCCCAGCTTCTTTTTCAGCACTTCCGAAGTCCTGACGGTTTCAGACTCGATGGTTTTCTGCAAGAAGGAAGTAGAAGTTGGCATCCCAGGTGGAGACGTTAATAATATTAGTAATAATAGTAATAATAATAATAATAACAACAGAGATGGAAGGGACCTTGGAGGTCTTCTAGTCCAACCTCCCGCTCAGGCAGGAAACCCTAGACCATTTCGGACAAATGGCTGTCCAGTCTCTTCTTAAAAACCTCCAGTGTTGGAGCATTCACCGCTTCTGGAGGCAGGTAGTTCCTCTGGTTAATTGTTCTCACTGTCAGGAAGTTTCTCCTTAGTTCTAGGTTGCTTCTCTCCTTGATTAGTTTCCACCCGTTGCTTCTTGTCCTGCCTTCAGGCGCTTTGGAGAACAGCTTGACTCCCTCTTCTTTGGGGCAGCCCCTCAGATACTGGAACACTGCCATCATGTGTCCCCCCCCCCCCC